TGTTTGTCATCCCGGCACAAGAAGGAGCTGAGCAAACACAAATATTAAACTAATATTTTTGGCGCTCGGTGAATTTTGATTGTCAGTTCACGGCGCCCGAGGCAGCAAACAGGAATGAGATGCAGTATCCTTAAGCTTTGTATTCATGGCTGAGTTGATGCCCCTTTTATATTTATTTATAACTATGTATGACTCTCAGTATTGCTATTTATCTGTCCTGTGAGGGGGAGATGCTAATGAGAGCCAGTGGCAGGACCCAACCAGGGCTGCCAAGTCAGGGAGCAAAACAGCAAAATAAAATGGTTTGGGTCCTCAAGATGCTGTCTGCACTAAATTGATGACATGGCAATTTTGTCTTTAACTGTGAATGGAGAGATAGCTGAGGATGTGCAGGATGACTGGAACAGACTCCAGGTTTCCCAAATTTCTGCAGTTAATTGTCAGAGTCCTTCATCCTACCAAGATGTGGGGGGAAAAAAAAAAAAAAAAGGAAAGCCGAGAACTGGTTGATCAATGGAACGTCAAGGCTGGTGCTGAAGCTTTTGCCCAGCTGTGGGATTGAAACATGTCCTCTTCCCTCAGATGTGCCCCAAATTGGTGCTGCCAGCCTTGACTCTGAGGAGCTGGCATGGGGTTTTTTTTCCTTGGACAGACACTGAGGAAAATAAACAAGGTCATCAACCCCTGACCCTTTTGAAGAGACAGAGCCACTCTTCGCACTCCAAATTGCCACAGTGTTGGTTGGGATGTACTTTATGGAGACTGTACCAATTACGTGGCTTTTTCAGAGCCTGGGAGCAGCCTGAGCTGTTATTTTCTTGAGTGAGCAAGGAAGAGGCTGAGGGGAATGAGAGGTGATGGACAGCTTTGCAAGAAAACTGCAGTTAACCCAGAGTTAAATTGAACTCCCTGGGAATGGCAGGAGTCAAAGACAAGCTTTGTGCGACACAGCACACGAGGACAAACAACTTCTGAGCTCACCATGTGTGGCCTCTGGGAGAGAGCTTGTCCAGCACCAAGTTTGTTCAGATCCCAGGTCCTTCCTGTGGGGAGTTTCAAGAAAATTCCCATGTTGTGCTCTGCACTCACATCTCATTCAAAAATGAGCTGAATGATGAAGAGAAAGGACAAGAGGTTCTCTCTCTGTTTCTCTTCTCAACCCTCTTTGAGGATGATTCATCCTCCCCAAATTCCTGGCAATATCTCTCAGTGACCAGCAGCTCTATCTTGTGCTTCTGACTCATAAACTGCTGGAAGCTTCTTTGGCTGAATTCAGAGAAAGGAAAATTTCTGCACTGGCTTTGATCTTGCATGAAGGTGTTTTGTAGAGGGCAAGGGACAACTTGAGAGAGAGGAGGAACAAAAGATGTAGTGAGGAAGAGGTAAAGATGAAGGGAAAAGAGGTAAAACCCCAAAAAGGAAACCTGTAAATTTTGAAAAACAGGGGGGAAAAAAAAACCCATTCAACTGATCTGAAGCCAAACAGATGAACAAAATGATGAATGATGCAAAAGTATGCACTGCGGCTGATTTCCTGTTGCAGCATTGATATTAGTAATAAAATCAATATCAATAGTTATCTAGGCCTAATAACTACACAGATCAGATTGGATTAGATGGATATTACTTCTCCTAATAACCTGCTTCTGTTGCCATTGCACACTAAGTAGGAATAGGTATCATGTCTTTTAATTAAAACGGGAGCTTCAGCACTTTGATTCACTCGTCGTCATAACTGGAAATGGCTTGTCCATACCCCAGCAATTAAATCTGTCCTGAAGGCCCCTATAAATGAAAATAAAGAGAGAACCCATTGAGAATCCTCTGCCTGACAGCCTTGGTGCTGTGGCATCTGTGATGATGCAGTGCAAGGCATTGAAAATCAAGGCAATTAAAACCAGGCTTCCCAGAGCTTTGGACCACTAAACCCCCCCCTAGCACCCCAAAACAGGCTTTGCAGCAATTTTGGGAGGTTCTGACATCAGGTTCTGAGGTTTTTTCGCACAACCAAACCCGTCAGGTGTTTGTTGAAGAAGGCTGTGTTGAAATGTCTGTGTCCAGGTGGGACAGGTCAGGCTGGGGGTCACCAGCTCCCCCTGGCCCCCCATAGTGCCCGGTGTCTCACCTCGGAAACCTCCTCGGTGAACTCCCAGCCTCGATCAATGCTCTTCCACGAAAAACACCAGCTTAGAGAAAACAGCATATTTAAAAGCAAAAGGCACGCTGGGGTTTATTGAATTTGTTCCAAACAGTTCTACATTCAATCACCCAGAAACTGTCTCCCTGCAGGCAACAATATCTTTTACTAACGAGTGTTCGCTGTGTGAAATAGCTCAGCTTATACTTCACAAGTTCTTTGCTGTGACTCTGCACCTGCCCTGTGTTGGGGTTCCTTTCTGGTTTTTTGGGTCTTTTTGGGCTGCTTCATGTCAATGAAACAATGTGCAAAAGGAGAAGGAAGTTAAAAACAAGATGTGAAATCACTTCAGGTCTGAGATGGGGTGAGGAAGGTGGTGTGTTCGCCTCAAATCCAGGCCCTCTGAGCTGCAGAAAGGGATTTGGGGCTGCTCTCCCAGTCTCCAAGTGGAGCAGGTCATGGAACAGCATTTCTATTGAGTTACAGCATGATGCAGCCCCCTGGGTTGTGCTGCAAGGGTGCTTTGGGCTTCTTCAGAGCCTGGGTGTGTATCAGCCACACCTAAATCACACACATGGGGTTTTGGCTTGCTCAGACCTGATGCTCTGCCCTCACCAGCTTTATCCTGTGTCTCTGCAGAGCAGCAGGGGAGTTACAGAGGGACAGGCTGTTCTGGGGGCTGAGCCCTGGCATGAGTTGTTCAGAGGAGCTGAGGCTGCTGTGTCCCTGGAAGTGTCCAAGGCCAGGTTGGATGGGGCTTGGAGCAACCTGGGCTAGTGGAAGGCGTCCCTGCCCATGGCAGGGAGGTGGAACGGGATGACCTTTAATATCCCTTTCAACCCAAACCATTCCATGATTCTGCCCTATGGTGTTGCAGCACACATGGCTGCCCTCGGCCCTCTTCCACTGGCTGCCTCCTTGGTTTTAGGCTTTATTTTATATCTTTGATTATTTTTTTTTTTTTAAGTAACTGAAATACTCCTTGAGGGTGAAGTTTGCTCTTCTTTTTTTCTCCTCCCCTGTCCTTCCCCTCCCCAGCTGTGGCTGGAGTCTCTGGTGTGGCACCCAAGGAGTGCAGGATGTCCCAGCCACATTGGGGCACGGATTAACTGCAGCCTTGGGACAGCTTTGCTGAAGCAAGATTAAAAACCTGGATAATCAGTTTGGTCATCTGAGCATGGATTAAGTGAAATGTCCACCTTGCATCTCTCAGGTGACAGCCGTCTGAGGGGAGAGCTGGAGGAGTGAGCTGTTCCTCTCCCTGCCCCCCTTCAAACAACAGAAACTTTGGGATTTGTGTCCCTAACAGAGCTGGAAGAGGATAAAACTCTCCAGCTGACCAGGAGGGAAAGAGAGAGATACTTTGAATTTTTTCCCTTAAATCATCAGTCACTCTAATTGTTTTCTTCTTCCCTTTTCTGCTTTTTCCTCACTGCATCCCTTTGAATGGAGGATTTATCTTCACTGGCACATGTACACAGGGCTATCACAGGCAGGGCTGTGTAACAAAACACCTGCAGAGTGAGCAGGTGCTGGTGCTGAGCTGCTCTCCACACCTCCAGGACCCCCCCTGCCCACCCGCTCCCTGCGCACAGTAGCATCTCCCACCTTCCTCCCATCAATCCACGCTCAGGAGTTGATTAGCAAAGCTGCTCAGACGAGCAGAAAGGATGGAGCAAGGCAGGGAAAAATGTGCTGAAGAGCATGGGACGTGGGAGTGGACTAACCTGAAGGGAAGGAGGAAAGGCTGCAGGACTCCTGTGCTTTGGGGCTGTACTGCTGCCCTGTCTCCACAGCGTCCCAAGGTGGGATGCTGAAGGACAGCACACCCGAAACAAGGTAGATTATGCTCCATTGTCAGCTACCAGCCACATCTGAATTGTCCCTGTGGTGGTTTTACATTAAATATCCCTGGATGCTGCCTGTCCTCCCAAACCTGGGTGTAGGTGCTGTCCCAGCACAGCCAGTGCTCCAAAACATGCAGGCTGTGGGTGAAAGGATGCTCAAAAAGCAACTGCTGGGCATCTTCTCCTGAATTTACTCTCCCATCTGTGCCAGAGGGGTGCAGGGAGACAGGTACCCCCTCAGTGTGCCCCCTCCCCACACAGCCATCCCTGTTCCATCGCTCCTGCCTCCTTCCAGCCGGCCTGGCAGTGCATCCAGCCTAAAAACAAAAAGACAGATTGTCCACTTCAGCTGTAATTACCAACTGAAAAGGCCCAGTGGGGAAAGGAAGGGGTGGGGGCTGTGGGAGAGAGGAGAGAGAAGGAAAAGAGGAAAGTGAAAAAGCAAGAAAGAAACGCTTCCCAGAACAGGTTGTATCAATCATTCAGCCTGTGCAAGGTCCCTCTCTGCTCCCTGAGAGGGATAACTGCATCCCACAGGGAGGCATCACCTGGTTGGCTGGGCCTGTGACTTCCTTGGGGTGCAGAGGGAGGGTTTATGCCCTGAATTATCCATTTGCACCAAAGTGTTCGTCCACCCCATTTCTGCATTCCCCAACAAGCAGCACTAACTGGGGTTGCTTACCCTTGCCCTGGGGCCAAACCAGGCTCTTTTTCAGGCAGCATCGAGCTCTGTGGTGGCTTGGCTGGTTTTTGAGCAGTCCTGCCCTGTACTCACATGCACAGCTGCTGGTGAGTCCACATGGAGCAGGGAATTTCCTCTTGTCAGGAACCAGGACCGGAATACACATGCCCACAAGAGATTTTGTTTGGGCTTCTTCTGCCACCCTCCCCATTCCATAAGTGTCCATTCACTCGTGTCTCCCTTTCTCTGGAGTCTTTGAACATCATCCTCCCCACCAACTGGGTCCTATTTGTAGAGCTGTGGTTTGGCTTATATTTATTTCTTTGTTTTTAAGTGTTATCTGCCTCACTGATTGGAGAAGCCGATGATCCTTGACCAGACTGAAGAGCAGGGGAAGCACAATGCCCGTGCTCCTGGTGGTGCTGCCAGCCCTGTCCCTTCCTCCTGCTCCAGCCCTGGTGAGTGATGATGAATCCTGGCTGTCAGAGGTGGCAGGTGGTGAATTAGGTGGAGAAACTGAAGCAGCTCAGGTGGCATTCCCAGAGTCACTGATGCTCCTGGCACTGCAGCAAGGTCCTGGGGGAGTGATGGCACAGGTCACCCAAGGGTTCAGCCAGGAGGAGGCGGTGATGACGTGTGGCAGGGAAGTTTTGGGGTCGCACAAGATGAATGTAATGCAGCCCCTCCTGCGCATCTCCATGAGCCAGAGATGTGTCCAGGGACAGGCACTTTGCCACCCTCTGGCTTCCCATCCCCTCCAGCCTCCCCCAGCAAAGCTGGAGAGGCCATGGAGTCACTCCCTGGGAGGTGGGGGAAGCAGGGCAGGAGGCAACATGGCAGATGGAGGCACAGCACACCCCACACCTCCACCTCAGACCACGCCTGTGCTGCCCCTCTTTAAAATGCCAGCGCTGTCCTGTTGTTCTCAGCTAATGCCCTCTAATGGGTCCATTAAACAGCTCTGTCTTTGCCTTGGCTTCTAATTCCCCCCTCCCCTGCTCATAATCAGGCAGCATTACCTGCTTCAGAAGATACGATTACACTACTTAAATCTGTCCAAATGACAGCACTGAGCCAGCAGCAGAGACACTTCACCCTTCCTTGGCCAAGCCAGACCCCTGGATGCAGGTCCGAGGCTGGCAGTGGAGTGGGAGACCCAGCCTCCTCCTTCCCTGCTGCAGTGGGTGTCCCTGAGGATACCTGCCTGTAATTGGAGCAGATTTATAGCAAATAGTTCCTCCATCCCTGCGAAGCAAAGGGATCTTTGCTTTATCTCTACCTAAAACAAGTCTTGCCAACTCGCTGTTGACCACAAGCCTTGCTGCTCTTCCAACCACGCTAGCCCAAATCTTTGCTCAGTGCCAGGGCAAAATCTTCCGTGAAACTCAGCAGGATATCCAGACATCCATCACTGGCCCCTGAGTGCCTCTTCAAACACTAGAGAAACACGGACTGGAGTGGCTCAAAATTGATTCTTTTTTGCTCGGTACTTGGTTGGCCTTCTCTGGAGTTTGGGGAAATTTTTAATAGCGCTATTGATAACCTGTCAGTGGGAATTTGCTTGGCACTTCACAGCACAAGCGCTAAAAATACAAGGTCCTGCTCCCCAGAGTGCTTGGAAACGTTGAGGGAAAGCAAATTTGGAGAAGGTGGTAAGGTTGTGGAGAGATGGGGAGTTCCCAGGGGCGCAGCCAACCGAGAAGGCTGCAGGGCATAGGACCAAGCAAGGTTTCTGGGGTACACAGAGGAGAAAAGGGAGAGAAATGTGGGTCTGTGGGATGCTCCCTGTCTGCACCGAAGGGCCGACGGAGCATTGTGATTTTGGGACCCGCCACATGACCTTGGGTCAAGTAATTTGCTTTTCTCCTCTCCCCTTTCCCTGAAGATGGGAAAAGAGAACTCCAGAGGCTCTTTGAGGTCCAGGGGTGGAAACCACGGCAATGCTAATTTTGGTTATTTAGAGGAAGGCTAAAGGAAGATATAGATAAGGGGAGCCACAAGCCTGAGAGAGGTGGAGACACTGCTCCACATCCTCCAGCAGATGGTTATTTGTAGCATAAGCAAGGGCAGAAATAGCCTTTAAGACAACATGGCCCTTGCTGCAAACTTGCAGTGTGTTTAACTCTCCATTTTATGTGTCGGTTTTATTCCTAATGATCTCTGACCTGGCAGGTGGGACTTCATCTCCTCCTCTCCATGCTGGGCTGTTTGCTCCTTGGTTTCTTTTTTCCCTCCCCATGTTGCTCCGTTATAATGTCACGCTGAGCTGCTAAACCCAGCTGCAGTTCTGGCAGATGACATACCAGTTCCCTCCGCTCTGGATCTGACATTTTCAGGAGCACTAAACACACATGCTTACAGATTGGAAAAGGGGAAAGAAACCCCACCACCAACACTCTCTCCTGGCTTTATTTTGTTGTGTTGGTGTCATTTTGGAGTTGATGAAAAATGTCAGATTAATGGATCTTGAAAGTGAAACCTGCTATTTAGCTGATGAACGAGCGGGGTGATGGAACAACGTGCACGGTGCTCCTCGCCCTGATGGCAGTGCCGTGGCTGGTGCCTTCATGCCATGACTTCCTGCCTGAGCTGTGGTGATGATGCTGCTCAGAGGGCATCATCCATGCCATTAGGCTCTCTCTTGTCACTCCACAGCAATGGATTTAGCACACAAAACTCTAAATATTTCAGGGCTGTGCTGGCAGACACAGCAGCTCCTTCCTCCTTTGCAGCCGAGGCTGTGGAGCACAATGGTTTGGGAGAGGTGATCCTCCAGAGGATGGGAGGGAGGGTTAACCCCAGAAGGGAGCCTGTACTTGAAGCCTGGTCTCCTGGCAGGGAAAGAAGAGGGGGGGGGGGGGAAACTGGAAGAACTTTAAAACCGTCAGCTGATATTCTGGGAGCTTTCATGCTGCAGCAGAAGAAGCCAAGGGGGATTTTTCCTTCCACATTGATGGAAGTGGGATCAGGCTATTTATCTTTGATGAAATGCCAAGAAATGGTTGATTGTGTTCAGAAGCAGCAAAAAGATATAATAAATAGTGCTTCCTGCTCCGAGAAATGGGAGTGAGGAGCCCAGATCTGATAACTGCCTGCACACATCCTATGTTTTGTGCTGTGAGTGATGTGTCTCCGGTACCCACAGAGGATCTCAGGCTACAGGTCTGACGTTTCTGCCACCTGAAGAGCTGACTAAACTTGTCTTGGGACATTACAAAACTGGGAGAGCAGACTGTAGAGGCCTTGTTTCCTTAGGGTAGCTCTGGATAATGCAGAGGGTGTGGGTTAATTATTATTGTACAGAAGAAAAGCAACCCCCATTCCGGGGCTCACCCAACTTTGGAAAGCCAGCTGATGAAAATGACCTTCAAACTCCACGCAAGAAGATCTTCAGACTCAAATCAAGACGGAGATGAGCTCCATGGTTGCTGTTTATTGTAGGAAAGCACCACAAAGAGAAGGCAGCGAAGGTTTGCTGTGCCATCATCTGTGGAATCAAGGGCAGGTGAAGAAGGAGGAGGAACCTCAACACATGTAAAGAAAATCCACCTGTGTCCATAGTCAGCACCACCCCAGTCTCTGTCTAATGAAGTGCTGACCCTGCTGCTGTTGGAGCTGAAGAAATGTGATATTTAAAAGGTTGGTGTAGACAACCATGGAACTGCCCATGTGAAGGCTGGGTCAAATCCTCTGGTGGACTGAACCCCTTGCATGGCATGTGGGTGTACTGCTGGCACCTCACAGAGGTTTGGGCTTTAGAAATAGCAGGCACGGGGTGGAAACTTTCCTCTTTCTTTCTATTGTTTTTTTTTTTTTTAAATTAAACCCCAAACAGCTGGCGTGCAGATGTTGACCTGCTTGCTGCCACCCCAGTGAGTGGACAACGCCACTGCTTTTTCCTTAATATTTTGCATTGAGAATTGGAAGCGCCATGTAAAGCCTAAATGCAATTATTGTTTTTTTATTATTATTGTTATAATAGAACTGGTGGAGCAGCAGCAAGAAGGAGCAGCTCACCCTGCCTGTTCACCAGCACTGCAGCATCCCATTGGAGAAGAGGGTTTTCCCTATGCTGGCCACCCACTTCTGCTTGCACGGGAAACACCAACCCATGGCATTGCACAGGCAATCAGGTAATATTTCCCTTTTAATAATCACAGGAATTACTGCTGTCAGAGGCATGAAAGGGAATAAAACCTCAGATTTGATCTCGCTTGCTCCAGCCATGGCATTCACCTCCACCTCTTGGACCCTCAGCAGCCAGACATGACCTTGATATCGCTTTCCCTGCCTGGAACATGTTTGAACATTGGCCAGGGGATGCTAAGGAAATCATCAGAGGTACCAACCCCACATCAAGCAAAGGGCACAGGTAGGAAACAGCTACTCAAGTGATGCCTCCTTGTCTTTTTGTAGCACTGGTGATCTGGGGGAAAAGCATTTGTTTGGAAGCTTTGAACAGAAGTACCAACAGATGCACTATGTAATAAAACCATGAAAGCCACTATTATGCTTTCAGGAAGAGAACAGAGAGGAGAAAGACTGCAGGCATTGGAGATAAACACACTCAGAATTATGGAAAGGCAATATTTAATAGTTCGCCAATTGTGTTCTCATTTCCATGCTATGTTACCCCTAGAGCTGAATTAAATATGGATTTTTTTTTTTTGTTTAAAAAAAAAAGGGCACAAAACCAAGCATCTACCATCACCAAAAATTAAAATGTTGGCTGCTGTGCCTCCCGTTTCTCACACCTGCACCAGTTCATCCCCTCTTTCAGGCAGCCTGGGGCAGTTCTTGTTCCTTCCCAATGGCTCTGTTTGCCAGGGTTATGCTGAGAGCCCAGCAAGGGAAATTGGGAATTTTTATGAAGCCTCTCTGTGTGTTTCACCCTTCACACCTGAATTTTTCACTAGCACAACTGCAGATCTAGAGAAATTCAGGCAACTTGATGGAGGGTCGGAAGACGCAGGAGGTAAAGGGCAGTTCTGAGAGCTTCTTACACCAGCTTCACCTCTAAAAGCTGTAACAGGGTGAAATCAAGGCCCATCCAGTATTTTTTTCCCCACAGTTGCTACAGGCATATTTTCAGGGAAGAATAAACCCAGGAAAGCTGATATGACTGGTCCTGATGTCACAGAATCATAAAATGACCTGGTTTGGAAGGGAGCTTGGACGTCATCTAGTTCCACTCCCCCTGCCATGGGCAGGGACACCTCCCACTAGCCCAGGTTGCTCCAAGCCCTGTCCAACCTGGCCTTGGACACTTCCAGGGATGTGGCAGCCACAGCTTCTCTGGGCATCCTGTGCCAGGGCCTCCCCACCCTCACAGCCAAGAATTCCTTCCTAATATCCCACCTAACCCCACCCTCTGGTAGTCTGAATCTATTCCCCCTTGTCCTGTCACTCCAGGCCCTTGTAAATAGTCTCTCTCCGTCTTTCTTCTTGTCTCCCTTCAGGCCCTGGAAGGCCACAATTAGGTCACCCCAAAGCTTCTCCTCTCCAGGCTGAACAATCCCAACTCTCCCAGCCTTTCCTCCCAGCAGAGCTGCTCCAGCCCTCTGATCATCTTGGTGCCTCCTCTGGACTGGCTCCCGCAGCTCCCTGTCCTTGCTGTGCTGGGCTCCCAGGGCTGGAGGCAGCTCTGCAGGGGGAGTCTCCTCATCTTCATGTCCCCCTGTTGTCCCCTTCAGCAGTGGAGGTCATTGCCCCAAGGGGAGGGAGAGCTGACAGATCCCTCAGACACCAGGAAGGTTGGCACTGACAGTGCTGAGGCTGCTCTGGATCAGCAGGACCACAGAGCCTGTTCTCCCCTGGCTGTCAGTATCTACCCGGTGACTCTTCTCTCACACCTCCGTTGTGGGACCCTCTTGTGTGGCACTAATATCTCCCCAAACGTGTGTGTGTGAGCAGGTGTTTTAGCACTGCATTAACACCACAAATAAAAATAATAACCGTCCCTAAACAGTCCAGCTCTTTCAAGGAGGTACTACCTTGAATCATTTTTAAATTCACGTGAGGCAACTTGGAACTACCTCCAAAGGGCTCTCTATAAAGCCAGATTGTACTGCATTTAATACCAATGCTTTTAGCCCTCTCTTTCCTTATTTTCTTGTACTTAGATAGATTTTCCTGTAGAGGACTTTGTTGTTTGTTTTTTTTTTCTTTCCAAGTGCCTGTGCTGGCTCACAAGTGACTCAGTACTTGATCAATACTACTGGTGGCTGTTGGTACAGCCACTGATGGGAAGCCAGCAGGGAATTATTCAGGTGAAAGCCTCAGAGAAAAATCAGTCAGGGGAAGGTCGGTTAGTTTGCTTGGTTTAAACCTGCAGTGCTTTCAGAAATGGGGAGGGGAAACAGGGACAGCCAGAAAACAGATTTTGGAGAATGCCAGAGGTATTTAAATACTCAGTGGAGGGAGTTTATAGTGACAAAACACATTACCAGTAAACCAAAAAAAAAAGCGTATTTCCAATGCCTCTGCACTTTGCAGAAGGAAAAAGCCTGTAAGGACATAGGAAAGGTTTTTCTGGTTCAGCTGAAGAGCATGTCTGTACTTACCACAAAGGCTGTCCTGACCTCCAACTGTTTTCCTCTCCAGGGAATCCTGGAGACTGATGTGATTTCTCTGCCTAGTAACACCCAGCAGATTTTCCTCCCTGCCTTCACTGCATCCCTCTGTGAGCCCACACAAATATCTTCTTCCCCAAGATGTTCAATGTGCAGAGCAATGGTGTTGAAGTTTGCAGATAGGCACAGGGCGGGGGGTACTCAAAAACTCCTTCAAGGAGCAGATTTCCTTGTAGGTTTTTATAGAATCCCAGAATGGTTTGGGTTGGAAGGGGCCTTAAAGACCATTTAGTTCCACCCCCTGCCATGGACTGGGACACCTTAGACTATCCCAGGTTGCTCCAAGCCTCGCTCAGCCAGGCCTCGAACACTTCCAGGGATGGGACTTCTACCTTGGTACATTCTGCTGTCCTCTTCTCCAGCATGACACAGCTTGGAGTGAGCATGAGGACCCTCCCTGCCTTTCCCCTCTTGTCCTTGGGAAGGAAGTTTATTCCTGATGTTTGCAGGTTGTTACCCCCCCTCCCCCGCCAACATTATCTGATGCCAAGTGATGCAGGGAGAGGTCACACTGCCTTTGATGGTCCCATGGGACACTGGAAAAGTGCTGCTCTCCACCTGGGACTGAAGCAGGTCACACCACGCTGCGGACCTCGTGCTGCTCTGCTCCGGGGATGCTCCGCTGTCAGAACCCTCCCCCAGGGACTTTCTGCTCCAGCAGAGCATCCTGACCTTGCAGCTCTAAAGGTACTTGAGAAAACACCCACATCACATCTGTGGCTGGGTTTGGGCAGCCAAAGGGAGGAGCAGGAGCTCCTTGGCACCCAGCAGACATCTCTACTTGAGAAATCCAGTGCCTGCCAGCAATCCTCTCTCCCTGAGCCTTGTTTCCGTGTTTCCCTCTCATTCCAGCCCCACGCTATGGATGCTGTGCTCCACACCATGTGTGCCATCCATCTTCCCAGCTATGTGCTGTCACATCTTCCAGGAAGGGGCAGATTAAAAAAATTGGCCTGGACAGAGTTCCTTAGTTAAATGGAAACTGCTTTGGTGGAGAAACAGTGACCTGAATCCCTCGCTGGTGTCTGAGCACTTACAGGGGATGTTTGTACCGGGGGAGAAAAGGTGTGGGGCTGAATTTGGGGAAGCCCCTGGTGAAAGCCTTGGCAGCACAGCACTGCATCACAGCCTGTGAAAATGCGAGTGTCACCCCCAGGCTAAAGCCAGCCCTGAGAAACCTGCCAGCCCAGGTGAAACCAGCCAGAAGTGACTTCCCCCATCCTCCTCGGGAGGGAAGATAAATGTCATCAGTCATCAGCCGTCACGGCTCATACAAGGCACATTTTTCTCTCCCTGGTTCTGAGCTGAAACCACTCAGGAGGGAGGGAGGGAGGGAGGGCGAAGGGGAGCTGTGAATCCTGATAAACTTTTCCTGTCCCTTGGGTGGGTCTGTCAGCGCTGATGGAAAAAAAACGTGTGCGTGAAGCTGGGGGAAATAAGGAATGTGAGCACCCGAGCACTGGAAAGGCAGCCAGAGCACGTAGATAAATGGGTGCCTGGGTGAGCACGCATCTGTGCAACATCCAGGCCTGTAGAGATGGAGCCCAAGCTCTCAGCACCTGCCACTTCTGCTGGAGAAATGCTATCAGCAGGCCACTGCTGAATGCAAGCAGTGGTGGGCCATGAAGGGGGGGAGAAGCTTCGTTATATGACATAACGCATTGCAATATGGAAAATATCTAAAATTGTTGAATAAATTTAGCAAGTTGAAGCTAAAAGTTTAACATACCTTGATAGCCCTTAATGTTTTGAGGGGCTGAAAGTCCTCCATCCCTTCCCAGAAGCTGCCTGCTCATTTCTGGCATGGGTACCTGAGCTGAGCTAGCCTGTCATCCATGAGTCCCCCACCTCAACTGCCCATCACAGAATCATTAAGGTTGGATAAGATCTCTGAGACCATTCAGTCCAGCCACTAAACCATGTCCCTAAGCATCACATCTGCACCATTTTGAACACTTCTAGAGACAGTGAGTCCACCAAATCATCCTTCAGAAGTCATCCCAGTGGCTCAGGAGCAAGGTGGAGAGAAAGCAGTGGGTTGGGATGAGTTAGAGCTGGAGGAAATATGCCAGCTGGGAAGCCCAGCTTCTCACCCAGCTTCCAGGTCGTTTAAAGTTAACGGTGAGTAACAATTCCTGCACACCAGTTAATTCCAGTCGCAAAATTAATACCACTGAAGTATTTTCAGTGCAGTGGGCAGTGCTGGGCTGCACAGGTGGGCAGGAACAGACAGGGAAGGGGATATTCATCCTGAAAAAGAGGAGCATTTGCTGTGAGCCAATTCATGATTTAAATGATTCCCCCCTGTCCCCCTCCCCCCAATGGGGGATAATATTATGGGTCTTCTCTTTTTTGAAACCATGGTTGTTGCTGCTCCCTGTCCCTTGTCAGGACAAAAAGAGGTGATTCCATGATCAGCTCAATTCAGACACTTTTCTCGGGATACCTGGCACCAAAAGACCTTCTGTGTATTGAACGGTCTAAGTGGAGCCTTACCCATGATCTTGTCCAGTCTCTTCTGGAGCTGGGGCAACCTCTTGGCATCTGTGGCATCCCACAGGAAGTGATCTGTCACTCCAAACCACTCCATTACTTGGGAAGTGCTGGAATCGCTATCTCTAGAGGGATTTAGAAAATATGTGGATGTGGCACTTGAGGACATGGGTTAGTGGGGGGCTTGGCAGTGCTGGGGAAATGATTGGAGTCAGAGGGCTTTTCCAAGGTAAATGATTCTG